CACCCACGCGCACTGGCTTACTCGCACCCACGTGTGCAAACACGTGTGGGGGGAGAAAAAAATAACTAAAATCCAGACATTCCCAGCTCCGGAATAACCACGTCTGATTTTTTGAACACAATGGCTGCTTTTTCAAACATTTTGCCAACGGACGCAGAAGGGTTTTTATTATCTGCATGCGATGAGTTAGCTATTTCTATATTCTCTTATTAATACCACAGATTACAGTATTTTTATAATGGGTTTTTTAAATGCTTAAAACGAATTTGCCATGCTTTGTGATCGGTCGTAAATGTTGCCATCCTACATACGAAAGAGTAAGATTATACTCATTTTATCCAGGAAAGGGGAACCTCTGTGGTGTTATGGTTCGCACACTGGACTTGCAAACCTCACCTGTCCACGCAGATGTAGCCATTGTCAGTTAACGTGTGATTGATCAAAGTGTGGGTACTCCCATGTCCTCCAAGGTATCTGATCAGTATAGAAGAGTAGGAAAAATACCCTCTCTTAGAGCTTCCTCGAGTGGAGGCCCTTCTGCTAGCAATATTTATTATAATCCAATCTCCTTCGTAATCGATTTTTTTAAAATCTAAAAGTGCGGTCATCAGACAGCGAACGTTTTATCAGAATGCCAACTCACATTTCGCAGTGGACATCGACACTAAACTTTGAATCTTTCACTGCAGACGGTTTGGCCATTTTTATAGTGGCGTTATGAGAATACGTGACCTTCATAAATATATAAATGTACGCAAATCGCCCAGGGGTCAAGGTCCATGGCTGTGCAGCAGATGTCCTACAGCTCTCTCGTTGCGGACGTGCCCAGGGCACACAGCAATGTACCCGTCAATCGCATGTCTTAATTGCCGCATGCTTGGCAGAGCACGCATGGCAGAGCACGCATGGCAGAGCACGCATGGCAGAGTGGTTCATCTGCGATTACACTGTAACAAAAACACATTTTTGTTCCTGGCTACTAAGTGTTATTTTTTAATTGCTTATGCCTAAAACGTACAGATAATAGCTATTATTCCCCACAAACTTTGCTTTTATGACCAGGACAGTGATATTTTGAAATTTACCTATTTTCAATGAGAAAACGTGTGCATTTGTGTCTTTAGTTCACATAAACTCCTGGTCACAAAAGCAAAGTTCGTGGGGAATAATAGCCATTTTCTATACTTTTTAGGCATAAGCAATAAAAAAATACCACTTATTACCCAGGAACAAAAATTGTCTTACATAGTGTTATCGTTTGCCCTGGAAGTCGGAGCGCTACGGTTTATATCCCGCTGCGTGCACACTTGCCGTGGACCCAGTGCCCTCGCCTGGCTGTTATTTATGGATTTTATTCATCTTGTCATATTGAATTGGCTTTTTTGTTTAGACAATTCCATAAAAAGCTATAAAGGCATTAATTTAATTACACTGTAATGAAAGTGGTTTAATTGCGTTTACCGATGCCACGCGGTGGGGTGCACGAGCGGGTGGGGTGGTGCATGAGCGGGTCATGGAGGTCGTGTGTTGTGTATGCGGGAGCTGTAGGATCTAGCAGGGGAAAGAAAGTAATCGCGCACGGTGTGGTAACATCAGGGTCTATGATGACCTCTTCAGCTTGGCTTGAACATTTTATTTATTCTAGATCAGATGTAGGTCTTAAATTAATATTTTTTTCATAATTCCAATTTGTTCAACATTATCCTGCAAACACATGCTTTCCTATACACAGTTGCTCAATGGTGGAAAAAAAGAAAACGCAATTACCAATCTTCGTTCCCGTAACCTAATTTCACCTGTGACTGTTGGGAATTGGAAATGAGCTAGAAATTCTCCAATGGCAACCTTTAAGTATGATCAGATATTTCAAATGTTACTGCTGACAATATATTCCCATGAAAGCAGCCTGGCTGAAATAAGCCTCGTGGCTCAATCGGCAATCCGTGCTCTGACACGGCCCTTATGACTTACCACTTGAACCTATCAAAATGTTGTTTTGGGATATTTAAGTCCTCTTTCACTCCACCGTCATCTCCCATTACTTGGGCGGCAGGGTTCGGCGCAGTGATAACATTTGTGGCTCCACAGCAAGAAAGGGTCTGGTTTTGATTCCTGACTCGGGTGTCTTTCTCTGTGTGGAATTTGTAAGTTCTCCCCCGTCATTCCACATGGGTTTAATCTGGGCTCTCCAATTTCCTCCTATAGCTAAAAAATAAACATAGAATCTAACTAGTAGTGGCTGAATATTCCAACAATAAAATCTGCTGAAAATGTTCTAACATTAGTCAAATGGGATTACAGAAAGCAACATTGTCTCGATCTGCAAAATCATGCCAGGACTCTGCTGAAAAAAAAGTCTTAAGATTCGGTGAGGCTTTTTTGAGGAGGCAAGCATAATTTTCTGTACTGTATTTTATTTCGATTGGTTGTTATGATTATGGGCTTCTTCAGCCACAAGGCTATGCAGGAGCTGATGGGGTAATGTAAGACATGCCCTGCTTTTTGGGATATGGTCATGTGGATTAACCAGCCCATGGCGAGCCCTGTGGATAGTTAATCCTGCAATGCAACTGCTTTGCAGTGAAGGTCGTGAAGGAGGGGAGTCTTGGGGCAGCACCAGGCCCAAGATTCGTTCCATCGATTAAATTCCAGCACTACAAAACGCTACTAAAATAAACCTTTAATTTCTGTAAATGAAAACTAGGCCTGCTTCCTTACAGTTAATTTACTCTTGACAATGGAAACATTGCAGTTACATGGAAAGCAGAAGTAGTGTGCGTTAATTTTGTCCGACAAGTGAAGTTTTGTCAGGCAAATGAAGAACGATCACAACGTGCTTACCAGACGTTTTTATAAATGGCTGACCTTTCAGCTCTTCTGCCTCCGAGTGCTTGTCACAACCCACACTGCTCCCTTGCTCTATTTACGATGATAATAATAAAGGTTTCAAAATGTCCTTTATTTGTCCAGGAAACCATGAACAGAATTGCTGGACTCTATTCATGCTTTGTGGACGATTATTAATTATTATTCCATCATTCGTGATGCAATTGGAGTGCACGGTAGAGAAAGAAAACTAGTTTATGTGAGGGGATTATGTTTTAGCATCCAGACACACACACAGATTAGCAACCTGCTGTCTGTACTGCCATCCACTGCCCACCTCATAACCCTATCATATGGTCTTCATGTAGCATTTGAGCATATTGGCGGAACACCGGTGTGCGGTATATCCAAAACATCACAAGAGTTACTTATTTTCCCACGATTAGCAGCCCCTGTCAGAAATTCTTGCTTGGTGCGTCAAAATCAGTTCTCGTCATGTCACAGCAGTCGGAAGGTGAATGTTATGAGCAGCTGAACACGAAGCTTCACAGTCTGTTGCCTTATAGGACCGAGTCTGATGACGATTGGCTCTGTGTTCTAAGGGCAGATTTGACTCGTTCCCTAGACTTGGTCGGACGGTTCCTCTATTACCGGAAAAAATTTCTTAGCAAACGGTTGCATTAAAAGATTATGACTCATGTCACACATTCGAATGGGAAAATAGCTGCTGAATCTAAGGCACCTTCTGATGGCGAGTCAGCAGTTCACTCTAAGGAAAACAGCGACATTGTCAGACTGTTTTATGCTGCACCGGTGTGCTGCCAATACATCCATTTATAAGTGGCAGTTGAGGGGCACGGGCCCGAAGGCCCAACAACACAAAAGCGGTCAGCAACATCGCTTTCGAAGTTGTAGTGGATAGGGGTCGATACGCTCGTTGAATTGAACACAAACTTGGGAGGAGGGGCGGCAATGCGAGGGAATTCCAAATTTGAGCGGTAGCAAGGGAAGAAGCAGAAAGATAAACATTTTGACCTGCAGTGTGGCGGTGGTGGTGGTTAAGCACAGCATGGTGGATGAGAAAAAATAGTCGATGTCTGAAAGACTGAGTCCTCAACATGGGTGGCCGAATGTGGTGATCTGCACGTGGTAGGATGGAAAAAATAAGTTTGAATGCAAACCAAGTATTTAATTGGTAAATGTTGAACCACTCCTTGGCTTAACATTGAGACTTTATGGGTACTAATGGTTTTGTTATATTTTTTTAAGTTGATTAATTCCATGTAATATATTCTCTCACACTTTAATTCCCCAAAATTCAACCAACTCTTGTCATTGTTATATAACCTTGTGGCAATCATCATTGCTGCAGTCAGACCACATTTGTCAGTGGTTGCTAATTTTTGCTAGAGCAGAAACCAGCACACACAGAAAAAAGGATCCCCCGTATAGCCTTAACACACTTGAGGCAAGTGCTGTTAGCGAACACCTATGAAGGGTCGCTTTGGCCAACATCATGCCTGGCCGCCTTTGTCTCCATAGTGGCGATGTTTATACACAGCACTTGGTACTCATTTGAGGCTGATTCAACCTAGGGGAGGCCCAGGACCAGTTCAGATAATCATCACTGGTGTTGGCCATGATCGGGAATCGAAGACACACACACAGGACAGACAGAAGCACAAGCGTGAACACAGATGGCGCGCACTCTCTACGAACTTGCTCAGGGAGTTGGACATTGTCGTTGGGAGCGCCGGTCGCATATCCCACGTGGCTTGTGCTCTAAGGCGTGCGGCTGCTGAAAGGTCAGGCGGGAGCGGCTGCTGTCAGGGTTACGGTGTCGGCTTCCATTAGGAGCTGACATCGATTGAGCAGGAGCCCACTGTTGTGCAGCGTTCACAGCCCCACGCGGAAATTCGCTTGGCATTTCGCATCAGTTGTGGGAAAGGTTACATCATCATGTTGTTTCGCCGTTTGGTTCCTCCCCCCAGCATCCCTTTTAAAATATTAAGGGGTGTGGGGGGGGTGAAACTTTAAAATCGATAAGTAAAACCGTTTTCATAATAGTGATGAAATACTTGTTTCATTTTGTAGTTTATTTCCGGTACGCAGTTTCAACTGAACACCTTGTTTTTTAAATTGTGTTGCTTCTTGTCGTTTGTCCACGATGTCAGGTTTGCGCCCATCCATCCTGCCGAGGTGAATTCGCACGAGCGTCAGGGGTCACATGACCACACGGACATCTCCAGACGACACAAGGAGGTGGCCTTGGTCCAGACGAAGCCTTCTGGAGGTAACAAACGGCGTTCCGGTTTCCGGCGCAGTGAGTTTCGCGAGACACTCGTGTGTTCGTTGCCGCCGAGCAATGACGGCGGCGATGATTCTGCCAGGTAGGGTGCCTGTCGGGCAAGGTGGCATCGTGATTCCCACGTAGCATGGAACGACGATGCATTGGTTGATCAATCGATCCATGATACCACCGCTTCTTGCGTTTATACCACACGCATTGATCATACGAGTGAGAATTATTTACCAATTGCAGGCAGTCTCCGGTTTACGACGGTCCGATTTTACAATGATCCACATTTACCACATTTATATATTGCCACCATAGATCGATTTACGATGCAGAAAATAGATGTATGACGCATATTTTGACATGACTCTGAACACATGAACAGTCAGTTTGATTTCCGATGTGACTTGGCGTGGAACTTTTGTTTTTCTCAAGTGTTTTTGTGGATTTTTACCTCTTAAACCCTATTAAATATGGCTGATAAAAAAAAACACACCGGCAGGTGATGTTTCTACTGTTTATACTGTCTATGGGGGTCCAATTTACGACAGGGTTTCCAGGAACTCCTTGTGCCATAAAAGCAGGGACTGCATGTATTTACGATTCAGGAAGAAGCCCAGCACTTAGAGCGAAAAGTCAAACATGCCTATCCAACTGGCGCCACATATTGCAGAACTGTGCAGTGGAACTGCGAAGCCCCGTGTGGGAGTGGAAACGATGAATGGTTGTTTTGCCCCCCCCCCTCCACCATTGCAGCCGACGTGATGTGGGCGAGCGGCATGGGCGGCCGTGGACCCGGCCAGTCGATGCGGCCGGCGCGCCGGGAAGTTGCGCCGGCGGCCGACTCGCCCAGCCGGCAGACGCAGGTACGAGGCGACCTGGCTCGGGGATACTGGCAACATTGTGGGTACACTGGGAAGCACGAGGGTAGCACGAGGGCATCAAGTGTGCGCAGGAAAACAGATGCACAGGGAATTGTTGAATTGTTTGTTTTAATAGATTTATTCGGTGTGTTTGCAGACAGATCTATTCTTCAAATGAATGTTTTTATGAATTGTTTATTAAAATATTTCACCTCGAAATCCGTTGATGGAACATCTCGTTTGCGAGGGTGTTCATAGAGGGTGTCCATTAAATGTGTTTGTCGAATGGACACACACAGATGGTGCTTGAACACTTTTAACCTTGTGCAGAAAGCACGAAAAATTAATCAAAACGCCAAATCACGATCCACCAATCACGAGCGTTCACCGAAATCGTGGAGACTGTGAATCGTCATGCAAGCCACTTGCGGGCGGCGCGCAGTGAGAGCAGCATCGCTGTTTGTCACCCCACAGGGAACGGACTCGTACTACTCCAGCCCCTCGAGCAGCAACACACTGTCGAGCACTGCGTCAAGCCGGCACAGCGACGAGCGCTGGTACGGATCGGGCGACCCCCTGGAGCCCGAGGGCGGGGGCGGCGGAGGTGGCACCGGCACCGGTGGCAGTGGTGGTAGTGGCGGCAGTGGCGGCAGTGGCGGCGGTGCTACCGTGGGTGGCGGAGCGACTGGCGTGGGCCCTGGCCAGGGCCGATCGGGCCACCATGGCTTTCCACAACACCACCACACTCCGGGCGCATCCACGGACAGCGGCATTGACTTGCCGCCGCCGACATCGTCGCGACCCGGCACTGTGTCATCTGGGGGCGGGGCGTCATACGCCAGCCCCGCAGGGCGGCCCACACCTACTTCGCAGAGGGGTCCGGCGGGAGACGGCGGTGGGGGCAAAGTGTGGGCTGTCGTTACAGAGGGAGGGCCCCCGTGCATCCGGGAAGTGACTCCAGAGGGGACGAGTGTCACCGAGCTGGACTGGGACATGCAGCACCGTGCCGCTGATTGGCCGTGAGTTTTTAGTTTTATTTTGGTGTCGGTGTCCGCAGTACTCTTCTGTACTCTTTGGTTCTATTCGATAAAGTCACGTATGTAAAAAATAAGACAACAAAAATCACGACGTTTCGGCCACAACACAAGTGGCCTTCATCAGGTGAAGGGACCGGACTGTCCAGAGGACAGCGTTGGAGTGAAGACAGCCAAGCCCAGGTCGCGTCCTTTAATGTGTGGGGGAGGAAACAAAAAACGCCTTGACAAAGGAATTAGCATAAAATGATGTAGCATGAAATGATGTACTGGACCGGCACGGGGGGGAGGGGGGCGGGGGGATGGGAGTTTACATAATGTTGGTGTGAAGGGAAATAAGCTGCTGTGAAAGTTTGGGATACCACTACTTGAATAAATATACTGCACAATTGAAAAATAGTTTAATGTTTGGTATGATTTAGAACATCTTTCCAATGATTGCTTAATTTGAAACCATCCTCTCGGTTGAAATTGTGTCTGTGTTTGTAAATCTGAATTGCCTCGTGGACACATCTCTGATAAAAACCCGTGGGTTTGCAGAGAACCTTGGTATCAGAGAAAACTATATCGTGATCACCCACAGCGTTGTAGCAGTGATCAGCTACGGCAGATCACCCACGCTGTGGGTGATCACGATATAGTTTTCTCCGATACCAAGGTTCTCTGCAAACCCACGGGTTTTTATCAGAGATTTGTCCACGAGGCAATTCAGATTTACAAACACAGACACAATTTCAACCGAGAGGATGGTTTCAAATTAAGGAATCATTGGAAAGATGTTCTAAATCATACCAAACATTAAACTATTTTTCAATTGTGCAGTATATTTATTCAAGTAGTGGTATCCCAAACTTTTTCACAGCAGCTTATTTCCCTTCACACCAACATTATGTAAACTCCCATCCCCCCGCCCCCCTCCCCCCCGTGCCGGTCCAGTACATCATTTCATGCTACATCATTTTATGCTAATTCCTTTGTCAAGGCGTTTTTTGTTTCCTCCCCCACACATTAAAGGACGCGACCTGGGCTTGGCTGTCTTCACTCCAACGCTGTCCTCTGGACAGTCCGGTCCCTTCACCGGATGAAGGCCACTTGTGTTGTGGCCGAAACGTCGTGATTTTTGTTGTTTTATTTTTTTACCTACGTGACTTTACCGAATAGAACCAAAGAGTATCGATCCTTGCAGTCACGAAAGCTTCAAATCTAGAAAAGTACTCTTCTGATTCGTGAGATTAGCAATTCCCTACTGGCACGGGAACCGTAGGGCGCACAGAGCTTTGGGAACAGGCGGAATGGCCGTGAGGTTTGATGTTTTTTTACAATGGAAGTGAGACAGAAGATCAAAAAAAAAGTTATGAAATATTTTTTGTTTGTTTAAAACGTAACTAGTGGATGTGTAGTGCTCTGGTGAGTCATAATGACCATGTCCGAGCACTGAGATAGCACGGATGACAGTCTGGGATTGAATGCTGTGTTATGTGGGTTCTCGTGTACAGCGAGTTTGTGGTATGAATCTGGTTATCAAGATCTGCATGACAAAGCCATTCTCATATGAAGTTCTTTTTTATCTTGATTTGAAGCTTTCGCGACTGCAGGAATCCATGCTCTTTGGACAGGGCCGATTGGGCCTGCTTCAGCAGTTTTCATGCTGTAGTTGTCTCACCTGATGATGATTGCTTGTGTTGTGATCGAAACGTCGTGATATATTATTTTTTCTACCTACGTGACTTTTCCGAAAGAACCAAAGAGTATAAGTTATTTTTGTCTTAATTTTGCCAATTCAAACACCGAGTGCAAACATTTAGATTGTCAAGTAAAGAATACATTGCGTAGAATGAGAAAAGCTTGTAGATTACAATGTCTCATGAAGCCATCGTTTACACTGGAAAATAGCCAGTGATATCCACCTGTGCCATGGGGGCTCTGTACTGGCTTGGCTCCGGGTGTAGCAGTGGAAAAAGGGGTGCAATAGTCACGCATTTTTTAAATATTTAAACTTTTATTAAGCAAAGCACGAGCTTGATACAGCCAGTCGCGCGATCCAGTAGGAGGGTATCTCGCCGCAAGAAGCCATCCTGTCGCAACTGAGCTATATGCCGGATTAGGGGGGGAGGGCCCGCTGCCTCTGTCGTCCGCCTCTAATTCTCCATTTCGCCATCATCCCCAATGTGTCCCCTGTGCAGGCCATCCACCGTTGCCCACAACCACAGCAAGAGTTCGTCATCTGACAGCTCCCGCTCCACGCTGGTGGCGCCCGCACAGCAGCCACCGGTGCCGTCAGGTGGCACAAAGGTCCCCACGTCCCGCAAGGCTTCGCCGGGGCAGCACCAGACCTCGAGGTTGCCCGGTGACAAGGACGGGCGAAGGTGAGCAACGTCGCCATCCGCTGTTTCTCTCCCGCTCTTTGAATCCGTTTGTGTACTTGCGTATCTCGCGGGCTGTGTTTCTGTCTTGGTCCCTGTATACGTGCGCCTATGTCTGACTCTCCCTACAAATTTCTCTGTCCCATGTATCTTGGTCGCACCGTTTAATTGTGGTGTCCCCCCACCGTTGCGTCATTTTGCATTCTAACCCTCCTTGTGTATGTGTCTGTCCGTTCCCTCCCGTGCGTCTCATCTCCCCACCCCCCCAACCCATCCGCCAAGGAGGCTGCAGTGCGAGGCGGGGGCTCTGAGCAAGACACGGCTGCGTGCGTCCGTGCGTGACCTGAGATCGCCGAAGCGTGCTCCGGCACAGTCCAAGGTGGTGGAGGATCTGCTGAAGCTCATCGCCCCCGAGAGCCCCGCGCCCTCACCCTGCCCAGAAAAAGAGCGACGGGTGAGGATAGGCTGGACCCCCCCTTGAGGATGGGGTGCACACGCCACTGCCACTGCCATCATCATCAACAGCGTTGTGATACATATTGTCATCATAATCGCCATAGCTTCCGCTACATTCGCCATCGTTTTATTGAATGTGATCATCACTACTACCACCGTCATCACCACGACCACCATTGTAATCTATTGTAATCTCTTGCATCAATATCAAAACTTAAACATCACCAACAACATCATCATCCCCCTCACAATCCCTACTGTCACAACTCAACCTCGTCCATCTCCAAATCTACCGATCCACCGCTAAGCTAATATCACCACCACCATCCGTCACAATGAACTCAACCTCCTCCGTGTTACCGTCCCCGCCCCCCCTTCGTGCAGCTGTCCCTGCCACGCAGCCCGCTGACTCCCCCGCTGGGACGCCCATTGCAGCGCACGCTGTCGGACGAGAGCATCTGCAGCGGGCGGCGCAACCCGACGCTGGCCGGCGCGCGCGAGTACGGTGGTGTTGAGTTGAGCGCGTCGAGCGAGGGCTTCTACCTCCACCACCAGCACCACAGCAGCGGGTCGCTCACACCGCCAACGGCACCACAGCGCCGCTCCATGCCACCGCTCACGCTCGACAGCCCCCAGAGGATGGGTGAGGGCGTGAGCGCGTGCGTGTGTGTGTGTGATTGAGATTGAAAGTGTGTGTGTGTGAAGGTCGGTGCTATATGTATCTCAGTGTTTATTAGCATGCGTTAATATCGCGTTTCTTGATAGTTTTTTTTATTGTTTAACGTTTTTCTTGGCGGTTTGTTTTAGTGTGCTTTTTTTTATAGCGTGCATGTACAGTACCTCTATTATGAGTGTCTGTGTATTATCTGTGTCCTCATGTCTTGTGTGTTTGTGTTTCTGTGTGCGTATGTTCTTGTCTGTTTATGAATAGCGTGGTGTACTGTAGCGTGGGGTGTACTGTAACATTGTGTACTGTAGAGCGGTCTCCTATAGTGTGTGTACTGTACCGTGGTGTACTGTGGTGTGTGTACTGTAGCGTGGTGTATTAAGCATGGGGTGTACTGTAGAGGGGGGTGTACTGTAGTCTATGGTGCATTGTGGCTTGTATTGCATAGTGTGTAGTGAACTACAGTGTGTACAGTGCGGTGCAGGTGGCGTACGTGTGGTAGAGGCTGTGTGTGTGGTGCAGGCTTAGTGTGTAAGTGATGCAGGCTATGTGTGTGTGTGTGGGCCGTGTTTGTGTGAATGGGGGATGTGTATGTCGTTACTTTTTTAGGGGAAAGAGCGGTGATCCAATCTCCAACCCCCAGGAACAGGTTTGCAGATTTGCTGAGCATTTCTGTGAATTCTTGGAGGATGGGAAATTTCTGAGCCTGGAAAACATCATGGGGAAAAGTGTGGATGACCGTGCAGAGGCTGCCGTGCCACAAATATTGGAATAAGTAGTCACCCCCTGTGAGTGGCTGGCTGAGGTGCCATCTGTTGAGGTAGCACTGAAGGCGATCCAGAGTCTGAGACCAGGAAAAGCACCGGGCAAAGATGATCTCGCAAGCGAAATGCTGAGGGAGGGTGTGGTTTATGCACAAACTGCCCTACATGACATAACAACAACAGTCTGGACCACAGGAAAGATTCCGCAGGATTTGTAGGATGCCCTGGTGGTCCCCCTTTTTAAGAAGGGGGACCACACAGACTGTAACAACTACAGGGGCGTCTCACTCCTCAGTATGCCGGGGAAGGTCCTGGCAAGGATTATTCAATATCGCCCTGCCAGGCACGCTGAGGAGAGGCTTGCGGAGCCCCAATGTGGTTCAGGAAAGGGCGTTCTTGCACATGTGCCATATTTTCTTTCCGTCTGCTACAGCAGAGGTGTAGGGAATTCCAACAAGACCTACATCTCTGCTTTATTGGTCAAGGCCTATGATACCATCAGTAGTCCTGGGCTCTGGTTTGTTCTTCATGCTTTCGGAGTCCCTGACTCTCTGCTCATAATGATTCAGGACCTTCATGATGGTGAGCGGGCCCGGGTAAAACTACGTGGCTGGGAGTCAGAGCCATTCCCTATTCACCTTGGGGTGCGACAGGGATGTCCTCTGGCTCCCACATTATTTAACATCTATTTAGACTATGTAGTTCCTGAAGCCTTCCATGGCTGTACTGGAAGAATTTCCATCTGGTACAGATATAATGGGAGGCTGATCGATGCCCGGGTGTGGTCAAGGGATGGCCAGTGATCTGGTAATTGCTGCTCACTCAGAGGAGGAGTTGGAGGCGCTGCTGCTGAACTTGGAGCGTGCCACTAACAGTTGGGGCCTTACCATCATCTCCACCAAAACTAAGCACCTACCAGGGTATTTTCTGCCACCACACACTTCACCCCGTCAGCTCCCCATTGGTGGTGGAGCAGTTGTGGAGAGAGTGGAGAGTTTCCCATACCTGGGCAATGTGCTTATGACCAGCTCCAGTTTGACAGCAGAGGTCTCACTCCGAATCATTCGGTCGGCATTATCTTTTCATCGGCTGCGTAACGCTGTGTGGAAGCTACCTGGTCTGTCTCTCTGCATGAAGCTTAGAGTCTTCTCAGCCACAGTCATGCCCTCCCTTTTCTACACTTGCACAATGTGGACCCCCCTAATGAAACATTTTCGCCAGTTAGCAACATTCATACTGCCATGCCTACTATCTATCCTGGGTTTGACCAGGCTGGATTGTGTAAGGCAGCGGTCCCCAACCTTTTTGGCACCAGGGACCGGTTTTGTGGAAGACAATTTTTTCACGGACCCGGGGGGGGGGGGGGGTAAGCCCACAAGCTAGGGTTAGCTTGTGGGCTTACCAAAACTGTGACTGAGACAAGTGCGCTGTGCGGGAAAGAGGCGCGGATGGAAGTGGTAAATAAAATAATGGGCGGGCCGCGCGCGGACTCACCGCTCTCACCTCCTGCTGTGCGGCCCGGTTCCGAACAGGCCGCGGACCGGTACCGGTCCGCGGCCCGAGGATTGGGGACCCCTGGTGTAAGGAGTTCACAAATCCTTGAAAGATCTGGACACATTCCCATGAGTGAGCTCCTCTGGCAGGCAAGGCTTTGTTGGCTGGGTTGCCCACATGCCCAGCCACCACATGCCCAAGCAGTTTCTGTTTGGCCGCATAGAGGTGGCTAAACGGGCACGACATGAGCCAGAGAAGAGATGGAGTGATGTGGTACGGGAGGATGTGGAACTGAGTGGATTTGCCGATGACTTGTACCAGTGGTGTCAAGATTGGCCTCTATGGAGGAGGCTCGTGAAGGATGCTGCTACTGGCTAATTGGAGGCAGTCACCTTCCAGCAACAATGGAGGGCAGAGAAGCGACGCTCACAACAACGAGCAGAGGGCCGGGCGGCTAAAATGCAGAAAGTTGGCACAGTAGGGGGCACAGCTGGTGCATCCACCAGTCATCTCAGTCAGCGAACCCATGGCACCTGGTTCTGTCCTGAGACCTCCTGTCAGGGAGCCTTCGACACTTCACGTGGCTTCAAAGTGCACCTGGCCTGGCACAGGCGCTGTGGTGACATCACCGTCACCTGGTGGTGAATGGCGGGTATTGGTGTGCGTGTGTGGGTGTAGTGCAGCTCTGGAGCCGCGTGCAGCTCTTTAAGGACTACTTCGTGACATTATTTATGAAGGACCACCGTCTCTCGTATTAATTCAAATGCTTTGTTGCTCTTGAAATATAGAGGTTTTTTTTACTGAATAAAAAAAAAAGCCTTTTCTTGTTATTTTGGTTGCCAACCCCTGGTGTCGTGGCTGTGGGGAACAGGAGTGCAGCAGTTAGCACATTGTGCTACAAACCTGGCAACTCAAGTTCAATTCCTGCTAACGAAGAAAACACCAGTGACAATGATCTTAACCGGTCCTGGGCCTTCCCTAGGTTGACTCAAACTCAAAATGAGTACCTGTTATGATGTGTAAACGTTGCTACGAGGGAGACAAAGGTGGCCGGGCATGGTGCTGACCACCCACCCCCTCGTGTGCTGTGCCGGCCTTCATAGATGCTCCCTAACAGCACTTGTCCCAACAGTCTGTTAAAGCTATACGGGGGTTCTTGGTTTTTGTGTAGAAGGTGGGAAGCAGCAGTGTAGTGCTTAGCGTGCTGCACTATGAACCCGGTGACCTGAGTTCGGTCACAGCCAACATCAACGATTATATGAACCTGCTCTGGACCTCCCCTAGGTCGACTCGACCTCAAGAGTACCTCGTGCAATGTGGAAACATTGCTACTGGGGAGACAAAGGTGGCCAGGCGTAGTGCTGGCCACCCACCCCGAACTTCATGAGGTGCTCCCTAACAGCACTTGCTCCAATAATTTATAAAATCTATACGGGGGATCTTTGAATGTCGACAAAGACACCCCATGTAGCCCACACACCCTTTTCAGGCAAAGTGCTTTTCGTGACTACGTATTAAGGCCGGCATAGCGCATGAGGTGGTGGTGTGGCCACAGCATACCTTGTCACCTTTAACACTGCACTAGGTATGCATTTAAGGCCCAGTCAACATAGGGGAGGCCCAAGAGTGGTTCAGATATCCGCCACCAATTTTGCTCACTCGTGGAAATGTACTCGGGTCACCAGTTCATAAGCGCAGTGCACTAACCACTGCACCCCAGTGGTAATGAAGGGGATCAGAATATGAGTGACTGTACAGTATATTGGTTTTCGCGAGCAAGTCAATGTGTGAGCGCATGTGAAAATGAAGGTGTGGTTGAGAGGTTGAGTGAGGGAGCGGGCGAGTGCGCAGGTGGGCGAACGTTGGAGTGCAGGTATCCTTGTTGGGGCACTCGAGCAAAGGACTGCATGGGTGACTGGCGAGCGAGTTTATATATTTACGCGATCTAACCCAAAAAAACCTGTATTATGGATGGATATTGGTCGCGAAAGCCTACGTGTTAAACTGAGTTGGTAGGCGGTCGTGCACCGTGGTTGGTGGGTGCACTTGAGCGATGTGGCCCAGTGAACGAGGTGTGCGCTGGTCTGCCGCGGCGCAGAGTGCCGTCTTCCCCACATGGCCGCTCTCCCGTAATTAAGGGCACCACATCCGCCTGCAGCGCCATCCGTCCTTGAAAACAACTGCATTGATTCAGAAACTACAGAGGGCACACAGGGTGCCATGGTGGCGAGATTTTAACTACCTCGCCTGGTATACAGGAGGGTGTGAGTTCGATCTCGACCCTAACGCCTGTGTATTTGGAATTTGCAAGTTCTCTCGGTGGTTGTGTGGATTTTCCTCTGATTTTTCCCTCCACATTTAGAATCAACATGCATTTCGTGTATTTAGCTGCTATAAATATCCACGTGATAAGCCACTACGTTGTGCTCTCATTTGTGGCCAGGTCTCTTCTGAAAATGAGCTTTGTAGCTCAGTGGGCCTTAACTGGTAAATTCAAAATAGCAGACGTTTCATGGTTAACAGTTGAATTTTTGTTCATGCTTAAGTCACCTGTAATGAACAACAATTATGATGCCCCTTTGCCAAACCACTGCTGGATTAAGGCAGTGGGGGTCAGGATCAGTTCAAAGATTGCTTGCCCACTCATATTTGGGCTCAATTCACAGGGCTCGCAGCAGAATGTGCATACACCAAGCCACTGTCTCCCCCATGTAGTCTTTATCATTCATTTTGACTCCATCACTACTTCGGCACGATCATTTGGCTGTAATATCCATCTCCGAGTACATCTTTCTCAGTCACTCTCTGCCTTTGCTATGGTCGATAAGTAAACATGCATAAACAAGTGTCCGATATTCCTTTCACTTTATATAGTTTGCAACTGCAGGTGCCTAAAATGTAGGCCACACCTTAAACAGTGAATCACTTGCTCCATCTCCCCAACCACACCTGTCTCTCCTTCCTCCACCACTCCTTCCTACCTTTCCACCCCACTCACACTCCCCCAAATCATTTTGGTATTAGACGATTAGTGATCATGCCAGCCAAGATTGATGTTCCTCTTTCGCTCGTCCTACTCTTCCCCAGCGACATCTCCCTCTCTCCTTGCGTAGAGTTCCGTGTTCTTCCTTCAACTGTCCTGAGACAGTTAAAATGGCACATTCCTATGGCAGGAACAGTAAGTCCATAGTACAACCACTCTTGACCATACAGGGATGATGGACATCTGTGAAAAAGAGCTTTATAGTTCATCGGATTCCTCCAGTATGAATACATATTCTGATTCTGAAACTGCGATTTGAAATTCCTTCCAGTTTTGCCTGACCTTCCAACGTTGAGTTGGCCTTCATCCAGCAATTAGTTGACAAAGGGCTGCAACATAAGCATGTGAGTTGCATGAACAATTCATTATCGGCTCCCACAAAGAAAACCAAAGATCCCCCATGCAGCTCTAGCAGATTGTTCGGCACGGGACACGAGAAGGTGGGTGGCAAGCACCATGCCTACTTTGTCTCGCCAGTGGCGATGTTTACGCAATGCACTAGGTACTAATTTTAGACTGAGTCGATCTAGAGGAGGCCCAGTACCGGTTCAGATAATCGTCACTGATGGTGGCCGTGAGCGGGAATCGAACCCGGGCTCCCGGGTTCATAGTGCAGTGCGCTAACCACTACACTACCGCTCCCACACACACACACCTTGCTGTGTGTATTATTAGACACCTGGTATTGATGCGTGTATGCGCGTTGTTGTGATGCTGCTCACAGGAGGGCCGCTACAGGTGTCGGACTCGATGATGTCACTGCGCAGTGCAGCGGCGCCCCCGCTCAGGGAGGCTGGGCTTCTGCCGCTGCCAGATTCGGCGACGGCGCTCGAGTGGGCCAACCTGGTCAGCGTGGCGCGGCAATACGAAGGTACGGCTTGGCGTAGCGGTGGTGAGGACAGCAACGCTGGCGGTGGTGGTGATGGTCACGGCGGTGGTGTCGTTATTGGTGGTTGTCAATCGATCGATGTTTATTAAACACGGGATGTCCCAATTTAGCCAGTTACCCCAGCTGGTTCGTGCAAGGGAGATCCGTAGTGCATTAGCACAGAACAAGAACAACACCATAAAAGTGGATCCGAACCGAGGAATAGGCAACAACAGAGCAGAACGCGTGAGAGGTGCAGGCAAAAATATAGCTTAAAGAGCAACAATTAACAATATAAATAGCCATATTGCACCAAAAACACGAATGAGGTAATGATGGGTCGGAGAGGAGATGTGTGGTGCGCCAGGCAAAGCTGGTGGTGGTGCCGGTGATTGTGGCAGTGGTGCTGGTGCATGAGTGAGTGAGTGAGCGAGCAAGCCAGTGCGTGCAAGTGAGCGAGCACGCGTGAGTGAGTGAACGAGCAGCCTCGTAGCATTTTGTACACTTTTCTGAAAACCCCATTAAACCCGCCCGTTGCTGCACGCTGTGTGAAGACATTGGGGCTGCAGAGCCGGCGTTGTCCCTGCAGCCGTAGCTACTGCTCCTGGCCTCGGGCAACAAATGCATTTTTAGATCAAGCTGCCTGTAATTTTCGATGACGAGATTGAGGTCACAGCTCCCCGCGTGCCCCGGGAGAGCTTGCGTTTTCCTTCGCGAGCGAAGCGGCGCATTAGGATGCATATAAATGAGAGATGTAAAAAGCCGTCTCTCTGGATATGTACACACACCGTGTGTTAATTAGACCAGATGGAACTGTGGGTCGAGTGTCTGGCTCGCAGTTGCAAGGGCACAAGTTCAAACCCTGGTTATGAAATGACGCAGCCGCATCGCTCGCCATACTGCCACTTTGCAGGAGGTCAATGACGGAGTTTGGCTTCCGTAATAGGAATGTGGAATTGATGAAGTGTCACCCCACGCCTGCCGAGGGTGGAGACACTTGGAGCGCACAAGTATATGTTACATGGATGTATATGGATGGATATGGGTGAAGAGCTGCTTTCATAGTCATCGTGTAACCATTCGACCTGCTGACTCCTGTACAATGTGATAAGTTGTCATGAATTCGGGGGTGATGATTATATTCCAAAATCGATTATTTACCATCACATAGTTTTGATCGCTCCAATAGGCTAAATAAATGTAACATCATAAATTATAATAATAATAATGAAATTTGTAATGCGCGCAATGATGCGGACCGTAGATACAATTCTGAGGTGCAGTGTCAGACAACCTTGTGGGTATTATGACTCTACTGCAATTAATGAATCAATACATTGTTTCTTGCAACGATTCACCGAGTAAATACCAGTTGTCTGGGAGTGGCTGAGACCATGACATCTCACTCAGTGCGCATACGTGCCGTGTGCACATCCGTCGCGTGTCCGTTCGCCCCACCACAGCCACACACGGCGTTATTGGCGGAGTCGGAGCCGGTGGCGGAATCCGACCCCGCGACCTCCCCGTATCGTTTGGACCCAACGACGGCCGGGCCCAGCTCCCGAGAGGCTGGCACCAGTCTTCGCCAACCAAATTCCCGCCAACGTGAGTTCATGGTGCCACCCTGACACCGGCATAGTTGGACCAAGGGCCTATCGCGCGCTTTCAAGATGCGCTTCAGCGGCCCTTTGGAATGTTCTTCCTTTCTTTATTAGGAGGCCACTGGAGCTATGCACTCTTAAATCATCTAGATCGAAAACTCAGTTCTTGAGAACTGCTTTTTGTGTTTAGTTTGATGACCTTCCCCCGCACATCTGATTAACATGTTTGGCTACGTACGGTGCGAAAGAAGTTCGATATACATACTATCCGCCATGGTCGTGTGATGTGTGAACACTTTTTAATTGGCCAATAACACCTGAATGTATAGCGGACCACAGAGCTTGGGCAATTGTTGGCATAAACTTTCACTTGGATAGACGCTGTAATTCCCACAATTAATGTAGTTTAATGTGTGCGACTCGCGCTATGGGACGCAAGAGAGGGGGTGGGGGGAGGGTTGGAGGGCAGCACTCTCAATGCTTAAAATCAGGAATACGACTGCGCCAGAAAGCTGAGCCAATCAGCGTCAAGAACCGGCAACAGCATCAGAGAGCAAGCCTATATAAAAGTAAGTGAGCTGCTCATCAGTGTTTCCAGAAGAAGCTGCCAGCACATGCAACGAAGCATACATCGTGACGAACAACGTCTAGTACGATCTGAAAACCACATCGGAGAGCTGCACAATCAGGAAATTTCTAGTTTGACTCCCAATGTGGGGTAGACTCAGCCTGTCATCCCTCCAGCAGTGATAGATGAACAACTGCTTGTGGAAAGTCAATAGTGGTGGTCAGTATATAAATAATGGTCCCTGCCATAGAAGATTTTGAATTAGCTTCAACCGTCTTTAGTCAGATTACCACTGCCCAATGCTCACTCTACCAGGAAAATACTGACCTTTTGAATAAGGCTGTACATATACTGTGAAAGTGAATATTAGAATGTAACTATAGAATGTTGTTGCTGCACTCCCTATGCGGATTAGATAACATGATGGTACACGAGTGGCAGAAGTTCTTCCAACAGAAAGTTCCAAGGAATGATTATACAATGTTGATGACGCATGTAATGTTTAATACGGCTGGCAATTCATGAGAGAGACGTTGGAATTATTTCCGTCTCTTGCCATTGTCATTCTCTGCAGAACACGGTGCTCTAAGTAATGCATTGCACATCGTGGGTTTTGTGAGTGGTGCCTCCTGTTCGCTTTAAGTAAACCTTACAACAAGGACTCTAAATCGTGGAGGAATTTGCATCTTTGCTCAAGAGAAACGGTACATTGCCCAAAACTCTTTGTTTAATTGACGAAGCTTTTGCAGGTGCAGCCAGTCAAATTCCTCACGCACGCTGGGAGCATGTGGTTGAACTTCCCATTCAGGAGCCGACCAGATGGCCCATGGGGTTAATTCTGAATCACAGCACTGTCCTTGGCCCCCTGAAAGCCAAGGTTAGACTCTTGAGTTTCATCCACACTTATTTAAACCAGTTCTTGAAGTGGTGACGATGGGGAGGATATGCTCCAGATCCACTTATTGTGCTTACCATGTAGCAATTAGAGGAGGCGGTTTAGCAAGTAGTGTTCTGACATTGTCGGTGTCAGTTTTGAGTTTTATTATGTTGTACATGTGGGTTTTCTCCAAGCGCTCGTTTCACTCCACAGAGAGAGACATGGCAGGAATTGGCAAAACTTCTAAAAGCTGTGCCTGTCTTGGAAACGAGTCTCACAGTCTGCCTGATACTCTGAAGAGTAAACATTTCAACTGATATTACCATGATGGTTAATTGCGTATTTCACGCTTCTGCTGTTGCTTTGCTCCATTTTAATAATGCGAAAAGTTGCAGCACGTTACCGCATCAGTTTTTACAGCAGGGCTGTGGGGCATGGGGAAGCAATTAATTATGAAAGCGCGATCGCAAATGCAGTGCTGTCGAGGCATGGAAATTGGAAAGATATCCCACGCGCCCCCAAGGCCTGAAAACTCACAAAGTAATCAGATCTTTAAAACTGGGCCAACACTGCTTTTCCGATGAATTATTCTGTTCCATGCTCAAAATGTTGAGCGAGTGTGTGGGGCAATGCTCAATTCTGCCATGCGAGTCAGGGACGGTTGTGTCCACAGGGCTTAGATAACCAAACTAAACTATTAACTATTTTTTATTTTACCAGATAAGGCCCACTGAGCTATATAGCTTTTTTTCATAAGCGACCTGTCTATGACAAATAATAGTGCAAGGAAGTGGCTTATCACATGAAAATGTATCGCAGCCAAATAATCTAAACGCATGTTGATTCTAAATGTGGAGGAAAAAACCAGAGGACCCGGAGAAAAATCTACGCAACCATGGGGAGACCATACAAACTCCAAATAATCATGTATTAGGGTTGTGGTCGATCCCACAACCTCCTGTATACCAGGCAAGGTAGTTAACATCTTGCCATCGTGGCACCTCAACCAGTCTTGGCAGGGCCATCATAGCGGGGTGCAGGGCCTGGGGCAAATCCCACTGTGTGCACCTCCCCAACGCCTTCAAACTAAACCAGAAGGATTACATCTGACACCGTGACATCGAAATGTGGGCCCCCCAAAACGTGGGGCCCGGGGCGGTTGCCCCGATTTGTTGTACCCTCGGGATGGCTCTAAGTGTTGGCTCCCCACAGGTGTATCACTTATTCTTATCCATCACTGAGAGATTATGAGTGAAACCCTTACTGGGATATGAACGCGTGGGCTTTTGATTGCGAGTCGAGCCATCTGCTCACAGCACCGGGTGTGGGCAGATTGCTTGCACACTGCCCCCCCCCCCTTGACCACCGTGCCAGCCCTAAATGGTGCTCGTTAACAGTACTTGCCTCAACACTCTGTATGCCTATAGGGAGATCTTTATCTTTTGTCTTAGTTTGCTTGCGTTCTACAGGAGTCGCTTCGCATCCCCGGAATCAGATATTTCGCCGGGCGCCCTGGCTGGGAAGGTGGACCACTTGGAGGTGATGCTACAGCGTCTTCAAGACGACCTGAGAAAGGTGAGGGAGGTTTTTAGATCTGCGGAATCACTACGCGCAGTCTAGGCGGAGACAAAGCCAGAAATGTGTGCAGAGGTAGAATATCTAAGAGATTACAGATCAAGACGGAGTAAAGCAGTGATGCCCGCTAAAGAAAGAAACGTAGTAAAAACAGTTTGGGTCTATCGCCGTTAATGAGGGACATATTATGGAATAGGATCAAAGGCAAAGTCGAAGCATTTGTTTGCCAGGCCACGATCTGCTGATGAGGTGGAGTGAAGGCAAAACTCTGGTTTAAGAAAGGCAAAGCCTCCATGAATCTAAGATGGTACTCCAATGCTTGTTTGGTCAGGGAGACACCGACTCTTTCTGCCTTTAACACTTCGATCTCTTTATATAATATACAATGTTGACAACATATTATAGCAGTTAGCTTACTTCTGCATGTAACTTTAATATAATATTCTTGAAGAGGTTTTTGAATATTATCCATAAAGCTGTGAGAGAATTGATCAATGGATTTGTATAAGTAAAAAAAGACTTCGTGCAAAAGGGGTTTCGTGTGTTGCCGTGTGCTGGGTCCCGTTATCCCCTCCACCCAACAGGAGAAGGAATTCAAGACGGTGCTGCAGAGCGAGGTGCACTACCTGCGCCGGGACAACCAGCGGCTCCAGGAGGAATCGCAGGTCGCTGCACAGCAGATGCGAAAATTCACAGAGTGGTTCTACAACACCATCGACAGGAAGTGATGTCATGTCTGTTGCAATAGAAGGGGACTTCGTTCCAAAAAAACAGGAAGTTATTTCACAGCCCGTTGGTTTGTTTAAAAAAAGGCAATGGAAATTGATGGCTTTGCAAAGACAACATGAAATGAGTGACAGCGGCGAGTATGGAATACATATCTGGTGGCGATACAGGAAGTGTGACGGTGTAAGACAGGAAGTAATATCATCATCATCTGCTGGAAACAGAAAGTGCAATGCGGGTGAGACTAGCAGCGGCAGACTGACACAATTCGAATGATTAAACTTTAAAGGACCAGATGATTGCCTATATTAATGACTTACAAAACAGTGCTACGTACTTAATCAAATAGCATGGTCGCACAAAACGGTCTTGAGTAGAAAATAGAGATTCTCAGCCGTTGTAAAGTCAACCGCTGATGATTAGAAGATACGGACGTTCGTGGATACTAAAACAGCAGCAAGTGACATCATTGCGAAACCATATCTCCAATTTTCAGAAACCCGATGGCATGAGGGGGGCTTGGCTGCTATGAGCCAGGATATGTTTTTGTCATGCAATGGAGAAACTGGAATGAAAATGCATGATTGAGCCAATGCTTAATATCATCTCACAGCACCCCATTTTTCCGATTATTGATCTTCAAGTGGCGCACAAGATTTTAAAACCCCATTGCACCGTTGTGATGACGGTGGTGAAGAATCATTCACAAATAAATATGAGAAGTTGACTGACCGTCACTTGGAAGCTCGTGGGCTACATCGGAAGAAGCCTCGGAGTTAAAATCTAATTCTTGACTCAACATCTTCAGATGCTGATTGAAGTAACGGGGAATCAAGAGGTTTTGAATGATCAGAACATGAGAATTCAGTTGAATGTAGCACCGTGTTTATGTGGACAATGGGATTGCTGGTGTGCACACTTGTAAATTTCATATGAGGGCAGCATCATTAACATATAAATTGACCAAATGAGGCAAAGGTGGCCGGATTTTGTGAGATGCTTCACAACGTTACCTCTCGGATCTGTATTATAGCTCTGTTGAGTATGTGATTCTATGAACTTGAGATTGAATTAGTCTTTGGCAAAACATTTTCATTTACTGTAATTTGTAAATACTGTACTGTTATGTCTTCTTTTGGTTTAAAACCAAATATGTATTGGTGTGCATTTCTTTCCATCAGGGTTAGGTTATGAATGAAAAAGATCTGTTTGACTTTTTTTAATTCAATCATTTGTTTCATGTAAGTTTGCATATTGATGTGTAAAGTATCATTTAAAATATATATAAATTCAATATTGTAATGTTAATTTTTGGCAGCTCGTATATACCATCTAGTTATCAATAAAAAGAGTAAAGTTTCTGCTCTGTGAAAAGTAAATTGCGATTGTCATTTGGAGAGACTGACCCTACCATAAGAATGTGGACTTTCCAACACTGTCTCATGGCCACCAAAAAATACGCACCACCCATTGCCCAGAGCATTAGGACACTAGTTCCGTATTATCTAGATAAGAAGCATCCCCCCCCCCCTCCATATTTTAAAGCCAAAGATGGGGGTGCATGTTATGATCTGGGAAATACGGTACTTATTCGTGAGTGCAAGGGTCTGCATCCAAAATAAGAGCCATTTTTTTCGAATTCGGTAAAAAAACTCAATATTTCAAGAGCTGCATTGTACCTGAATACGAGACGGTGGTCCTTAATAAATAACATCACGAAGCGCTCCTTAAAGAGCCGCATGCAGCTGCAGAGCCGCAGGTTGCCGACCCCCTGCGTCGGTGCATTTGCTACAGTTGTGGACCCGTTATGCCTTGCTGAAAGAAACCCCCATTGGTTACATTTCTGATTCGATCGATGCACTTAACTTGTCTATCAAACAGATATTCTCATAAGTTTGCTGACAAGACTTGTTTTAATACACTACACTGTATTTTTTTAAATGGCACAATTTCCCTCGATCATAAAGTACAAATATAAGTACAGTAAATACAAAAACTACAGCTTTGACATTTCCAATTGACTTATATTTACAAATCAAAGTTTTCTATTTACCACATACCACATTTTCTCATAGGTTAATATATTTTTGCACAATGTTAATAGACAGGAAGCAGAACAATAATTCTTTAATCCATGTCCAAACAATTTAAGAGGAGTCGGAGACTGGTTAAGCGCTTCTTTATTCGTCAACCCACAGCGACACGACACTCGTTCTAAAACCAACCCCGAACACGCATTTCACAGCCCCTTTTAACCCCTCCATCTCCGCCCTCGTTCCCAATACAGATCCTCATCTCGCATGCCTGGTCTGGGTGACGTCAGTGCCCTTTAACCCTTGACCCCCGTCTAGTGTATTCCCGTGCGTGTGATTGGTGCGTGCTATACTGAGTGCGGAGATTTCATGTCTGCGTGGTGCGTGTGCGTGAGGGTGGTTCGCAGATCCCTTATATCACCCCCCCCCCCTTCCTTGAGACAATGCCGTCCTCAGCTCAACAACTGTATGCCTCGGCCGTTCAAAGCCAATTGCGGCCGGGCACATGCAATTTAAACAACAACAACCAAAAATGTGCAATAAAGCAAAAGTAACACAACACAATTCCCCCTCCGTCTCCTTGTTAACAAGAGCGCCGCCTCTGTCGCAGTCTTCCCCCCAGATCCGATCCCTCGACCGAACACAACAGGGTTGCAGGGATGTCCGTGTCCACAGCTGCGACGAGGCGGTGTGAGCGTGAGCGGGTTAAGGGGCCCCGTCCTGTGGCCTAGTCCTCGGCCGATGCTGCGGCTGCGTCTTCAGCCATGGACGCCGATGGGTCCGGTGCTGGCATCCCGGTCACCTGTAGTCCTGCAGGATGGACAGTGGCTGCATTGTCAGTTGGACGCGTAGCATGCCGTGAGTGTGACAACCTCCTCCCACCTGGCCGAACTGATGATGAAGGTGGTGAAGGTGAAGATGCTCATAGGGGCAGCCCGGCCGTGATGTAACGTTTTAGCCTCGAGGGGTGAACGTACCACCTACGCTTTCCCATCTGAATGCGAACATACTCTTTGGTTCTTTCAGTAAAGTCACGTAGGTATAAAAAAAAAATCAATCACGACGTTTCGGGTGCAACACAAGAGCCCGTCATCAGGTGGGGCAACCACAGCAAGAAACAATTGAAGTGGGCAAAAGGGGCTGCTTGTAACAAGAGGCTATATAAGCAAGAGGAGGGGGGTGGGGAACCAGGGAAGATAGATATAGAGGGGAAGTGCAAGCTCCAACATGAGTACGACGAAATGCCGGGGCTGGGAAGTGAGCGGGGCTGGGGGGTAGGAGGCTGAAGAAACTGGGGATGCGGATATGAAGGCAAACTATTAAGCAATTAAGGTTTTACCTGGTTAGTAACATCCTTCCAATGGTTGCTCAATTTGTATCCATCTTCTTGGTTGAAGTTATGTCTATCTAACCTCTTTTCAGAACATAGATGGACTAGTCCTTCTAAATAAACTGCCAAATCGCTGCGCGTGGCGCTAACGTTTTTTAATACATAAATACACCGTTTAAATATAAATACATTTATGCAAACCGACACACCTGATGACGACCGTTTGTGTTATGGTCGAAACGTCGTGAGAATTTTTATTGTTTTATATATTTTGTTATTTTATTGTTTCCCTTCAACGTGACTTTACCGAAAGAGCTAAGAATATGAATTACTGCAGTCACGAAAGCTTTAAATCAAAATCTAACCTATAAAATTCATTTTTTGTCTGTCCGTCTGTGTACGCTCGCTTGCGAGGGATTTGACTCTCGGACCGCGGGGTTCGCGTGGAAAAAAATTGCCGGGTGGCACGCCCCGGGCCCCCTGCTTGGTATAGGCTATTCCGTTTTGCCGTCACCTTAAAAGCGGTTAAATTGACGATTTAGTGCGATTCCTCTTTCTTTATTTACTTACTTTGCCGACCGGCTCGCTGCTGCGCATGCGCGAAACGCTGACGCGAGTTGTTGCCCCTGGCAACGCACGGACGCCGTCGCCGCAGGGGAGGACGCCATTTCTCATTCAAAATGCAAAAAGTTTACACGCGACGCTGAGGTAAATTCATCAAAGTGTCACGTCCTCTTCTCTCCCCCTCCACCCCAATGTGTGCGCTTACTATTATAGGCTCGGTAGATACTAAAATTATAGCGATTAAATAGGATTATTGTAGCGCGGGGTGGGGGGGGTGGTAGCGGCCCAGCCCACAGCCTCGGCCGGCCGGGTAATCTAGGCGAGGCCGGAGGCTTTGCAACGGGACTAGGCCTCGTCACGGCAATCTGTCAGGTGAGTACTTTGTGCTATAGAGTCGATATATACTGCTACCAGCGGGAAAATAAATATTTTAAAACGTCTGCAAACTTAAAAATATAACATACAAATGAAAAGATAACTCATTAATTGAAAATAAAATTCGTTTAAAATAAAATCCGAGCGCGCCAAGAATCGATTATTTCAATCGCGCAAAGGAATCGAAGGTTTTAGATTCCTTTAGAATCGTCTTGAAGCGACGACGCTCGCTTGCAAGGGATTTGGCTTCTAGATTGAAAGTTTTCGTGACTGCAAGAATCCATACTCTTTGGTTCTATTCGGTAAAGTAACGTAGGTAAAAAATAAAACAACAAAAATCACGACGTTTCGGCCACAACACAAGCGGCCTTCATCAGGTGAAGGGATCAGGCTGTCTCGAGGACAGCGCTGGAGTGAAACACAGCCACGCTCAGACCGCGGACCTTTAGTTCATAGTTAATTTATTTGGTATAGCCCTGTGAGCCATTCGGCTCTTGAATCGGGTGCAACCGCAACAAACAAAAAACATGAACAAGAAAACATCTTAAAGTGATTATGTCACTGTGCAAACAGAAAATACAGGAAAAAAATATCAATATTCCTGAAATAGCACCGTACACCAACGCTGTGTGCAAAAATCCCAGTGGGATGCAAGTCAAATAACAACAACAACAACCACAAGACAACTAAGATTAAGGCCATCAGTCTAACTCTGTACTACAATAAACAAAAACATGGCCAAAACAAAAAAAATCGAAATCACCAAAATAAAAGCCATAAATCCAATGTAACAGTGATCATAGGGACTGTGACCGAATTTTTAACAATAAACTACATAAATAAATTATAACACCAAAATCTAGAGCCATATTTTAGGCCACTGAATAGCAGTGGCAGCTAGGGTTGTACAACTCCTCTAGAGCAGTTTTGAGTGAAGATCTCATAGGTAGTGATTCAAGTTGCAGTTTATTGGCAATAGTGTAGTGTTGTAAGGACGAGCAGACTTCTTATGGAGGCACACTCTGTTTATTGTATTATTTCCTTATACAATGCTTAACACACACAGAGGGATATTCGGTCCCCTCACCCGATACCCTAGGGAGGTACAGCCTCCGGACTTGGCGGGACTCACACGTCTACCGCTAACCTCCTTGATACCTAAGGAGGTACAACCTCCGGACTTGGCGGGACTCACACGTCTACCGCTATCCTAGTCCTCCGGCTAGGACCTAGGGGAGGCTATCTGACCCACCGCTGGCCCGGTGGGTCCTGACCACTGGGTATGCCGAGCCTTAGCCCTTAGAAGGGCTGAAAGGCTGGTCCAGGGTCCTAGCTAGGCTTCAGCCCAGTCTTCTGTCTTCGTGCAGGGAGAGAACTCCTCGAGGTCCGTTGGGTCACCCGTCTTATACCCCTTCGTGGCCAGGTAGAACCAATCATACATTCCCACGTGGAACCGTCTGATTGGTTCGCACCAAACCCTGGCCACGATCCGTTTCACCTCAACTGACCCCAACCGTTGTACCCAGGGGTAATGCTGCACCGCCCTGGTGGCAACGCGGGTTACGCAACAGCGCGTAGTTAACACCTCTACATCACCCCCTCCTTCGGAAGCTCCAGCCGTCCCGGCTGCAACAATGGGAAACTTTGAAATTACCAACGGTAGAAGAATTGTGAGTGTGCCTCACGAACAACAAGAACAATTAAGCCCCTATAAATACCCCCCCTTAACAACATAACGTATGTACAAGGCACAAGACATGCCAAAAAAAACATTATAACAACCGGCGAGTTTTCGCGCGCGTGCGTTTCGCGGGGCCATCGTAGGGGATGGCAGGCTTTGTCGGCGGCACAAGGGAAGGAGGAGGATGAGCCAGAGCATCCGGTGGGCCTTTAGGCATCTCCACGGGGACACCTGCTGCTCCACGGTCCATTGAGGCCGAACGTGGCCTGCATGGAGCCGTCACTCCCACGTCATCTGCAGGAGGAATAACACGCCTGCGCTGTGGGTTAGGCACCAACGGGGCAACATCCGGCTCGTCGGACGCGTAGCACACTCGGCCCCCATGTCGTGTGTGTTGTGGAGGGACGCGTGGCGTGACGAAGGGTTTTAACCGAGAAGGGTGAACGCACCAGCGACGCCGTCCCCAGCTAATTTTAACACATTGGGGACGCAGGACTTCCACTACCTCAACCGGGCCTCGCCATGGTCTGAGGAGTTTGGCCGATGTGGACACCGGCACCTGGGGGCAGTGGAGCCATGCCCTGTCTCCCGGTGCCCACCGATGCGTGTACGACCGAGGGTCCCGCAGTCGCAAATTCGCCCGTTGGCGGGAAGCCGAATTTTCAATGGCGGCCTCCCGTGCCTCGGCCAACTTACGGAGGTTGAATCGCAAGTGGTCAACGAGCTTTGACTTTTGCGGTGGCTGTTCGATTTCCAGCCGAACGTCGGCGGGAGGAAAGGCATCCCTGCCGTACATTAGAAAGAACGGGGAAAATCCCGTCGCCGCGTGAGGTGCCATACGGTATGCGGCGAGGACCCCCGGAACCTGCAAGTCCCAATCGAGGTGGGATTCATCGACCTGATGGCATAACATAGCGGTGAGAGTTCTATGAAGGCGCTCCACCATGCCGTCGGTCTGGGGATGGTAGGGCGAAGTGCGCACTTTCTCAGTGCCCAACAGGCGGCACACATCAGTCAGCAAGGCTCCTGAAAAATTTCTTCCCTGATCGGTCAGCAACCGTTCTGGTGCACCCTTGTCCAGGACGTAGCCTTGAACAAAGGCGTCCACAACGGCCGCCGCCGACTGGTTGGGGAGGGCCCAGGCCATAGGCCATCGTGTGAAATACTCTACCCCAACCAGAAGGTACTTATTACCCCGTGGCGTAGTAGGAAAAGGGCCCAAAATATCGAGAGCCACCAACTCATTTATACGAGAGACCGAAATGGGTTGCAGGGGTGGGCATGCCGGTTTAGCCGGCGGTTTACGTTGCGCACAATGGGTGCATCCCAGCAAAATGTCAGTGACGTCGCGCAGCATGCCCGGCCAGAAAAATTGCAACCGCAACAACCCAATGGTCTTATGAACACCCAGGTGCAATAAACGCTCATGCGCCGCCCATACGGCCTTGCATCGCAAGGCGGATGGCACGACGATTTTATGTTGACACGAGTCAGCATCCCAATGCATCAACAAGCCGCACTTCATGACAAATGAATTAAATTTGCCCTGTCTTGGAACCGCATTATTCGCGTGGCGACGCAACCTCAATAACGACATGTCCTCGCCCTGGTGCCGACCCCATTCGGCCAAAGTTAGCCCCAGCAAATCGTCACTGGCCATTGGATCTGCATGATCCAACATCGGCGCTGAGGCGGCGGGAAGTGCGGCTGACACCGTTGTGAGAGGCGCGACCTGCGCAGGCAGT